ATGAGGCAAGAGAAAGAAATAAAGGGTATTAAGTTAGGAAAAGAAGAAGTCAAACTGTCCCTGTTTGCAGATGATATGATTGTTTATTTAGAAAACCCCATCGTCTCAGCCCAAAATCTCCTTAAGCTCATAAGCAACTTCAGCAAAGTCTCAGGATACAAAATCAATGTGCAAAAATCACAAGCATTCTTATACACCAGTTACTGACAAACAGAGAGCCAAATCATGAATGAACTCCCATTCCCAATTGCTTCAAAGGGAATAAAATACCGAGGAATCCAACTTACAAGGGATGTAAAGAACCTCTTCAAGGAGAACTACAAACCACTGCTCAGTGAAATAAAAGAGGACACAAAAAAATGGAAGAACATACCATGGTCATGGACAGGAAGAATCAATATTGTGAAAATGGCCAACTGCCCGAGGTAATTTATAGATTCAATGCCATCCCCATTAAGCTCCCAATGACTTTCTTCACAGAATTGGAAAAAAATTGCTTTAAAGTTCATATGGAACCAAAAAAGAGCCCGCATTGCCAAGACAATCCTAAGCCAAAAGAACAAAGCTGGAGGCATCACGCTACCTGACTTCAAACTATACCACAAGGCTACAGTAACCAAAACAGCACGGTACTGGTCCAAAACAGAGATATAGACCAATGGAACAGAACAGAGCCCTCAGAAATAATACCATACATCTACAGCCATCTGATCTTTGACAAACCTGAGAGAAACAAGAAATGGGGAAAGCATTCCCTATTTAATAAATGGTGCTGGGAAAATTGGTTAGCCGTAAGTAGAAAGCTGACACTGGATCCTTTCCTTATTCCTTATATGAAAATTAATTCAAGATGGATTAGAGACTTAAATGTTAGACCTAATACCATAAAAACGCTAGAAGAAAACCTAGGCAATACCATTCAGGACATAGGCATGGGCAAGGACTTCATGTCTAAAACACCAAAAGCAAGGGCAACAAAAGCCAAAATTGACAAATGGGATCTAATTAAACTAAAGAGCTTCTTCACAGCAAAAGAAACTACCATCAGAGTGAACAGGCAACCTACAGAATGGGAGAACATTTTTGCAATCTACTCATCTGACAAAGGGCTAATATCCAGAACCTACAAAGAACGCAAACAAATTTACGAGAAAAAAACCACCCCATCAAAAAGTGGGCAAAAGATATGAACAGACACTTCTTAAAAGAAGACATTTATGCAGCCAACAGGCACATGAAGAAGTGCTCATCATCACTCGCCATCAGAGAAATGCAAATCAAAACCACAATGAGATACCATCTCACACCAGTTAGAATGGCAATCATTAAAAAATCAGGAAACAACAGGTACTGGAAAGGATGTGGAGAAATAGGAACACTTTTACACTGTTGGTGGGATTGTAAACTAGTTCAACCATTGTGGAAAACAGTGTAGCGATTCCTCAAGGATCTAGAACTAGAAATACCATTTGACCCAGCCATCCCATTACTGGGTATACACCCAAAGGCTTATAAATCATGCTGCTATAAAGACACATACACATACGTATGTTTATTGCAGCACTATTCACAATAGCAAAGACTTGGAATCAACCCAAATGTCCATCAGTGACAGACTGGATTAAGAAAATGTGGCACATATACACCATGGAATACTATGCAGCCATCAAAAAGGATGAGTTTGTGTCCTTTGTAGCGACATGGATGCAGCTGGAAACCATCATTCTCAGCAACCTATCACAAGAACAGAAAACCAAACACCGTATGTTCTCACTCATTGGTGGGAACTGAACAATAAGATCACTTGGACACAGGAAGGGGAACATCACACACTGGGGCCTATTGTGGGGAGGGGGGAGAGGGGAAGGACAGCATTAGGAGATATACCTAATGTAAATGACAAGTCAATGGATGCAGCACACCAACATGGCACATGTATATATGTGTAACAAACCTGCACCTTGTGCACATATACCCTAGAACTTAAAGTATAATAAAAAAAGAAACAGAAGCTGTTTCATGTGATAGAAATAATATTTTTTTCCATTTTTTTTTATTATGGCTAATAACACTGATATATATGAAAAAGTCTTAGTAATCATTTTTTTAACAGTGCCCAAATACTTCATTATCATTCTTTTTTTGATATCCTAAAACCAAAATTTTGTCACGTCCTATTATCTGATGCTGTCACATTTAGTCTTTTACTTTGGAATTCCCAGTTTCAAAGAATTCACAGCTAATATCCAATCAGCTAATATCCACATTATGTAGGCTTTGCCCATTCACTTATCCATATCCTTAGGGATACAGGACTTTTACCAACACATTTTAAAATTGTTTTGCACTAGGATTTTACCTTTTTTACTTTATGTGGCAACATTGGCCAATCATTCCCTTCTAGAATGTTCACTGCCAGTTGAAGGCTGAGTTCTAGGGACTTTTCTCAAACAGAACTTTAGCAACTAGTACATAGTCACATATGGAGTACAATGCTAGCTATGCAGTGATAACCACAGGGAATATTTTCTGAATTAGGACATAGAATGTCTTCTGAATTATCAAAAAAGAAATACTATCTTCAATGTACTTTTGTAATTAAATGTATCCTTATTGATAATCCAGGTATTAAGTAGAACATTTTATTAATTAGGGCACTCCAGCTCTAGCTTTACAGAGAAACAACCTGTTATATGTGATTTCATCTGTCACAGTCTAAAGAGATGCCATTGATTGTCAGATGCTCAAAAGCTAGTCCTCTGGATGGTTCCATTGATACCATACCTTTTCATTCTCAGGATAATATTGACATACAAATTAACATTGCATCTCAACATCCTAATTTGGAGAAAACAAGATTACATATCCCTGTGAAAAGAAGAGATGGCACTGAAATAGAGAGGGTCTACAGAGATACTTTTCATTGGAACAGCACCTTTCATTGGAAAAACAAAGCAAGAACAGTAAAAACCCGTATTTTCATTCCTTATTTACCCATACGAATAAAAAAAGAACTATATAACCAGGGTCTTCCTTTGTACATTCTCTTTTGCTAAAAAACTGAACATTCTATGTATCTTGAAAATGTTATCTGATGAAAAGGTTAATTCTTCCACATATAAAAAAAATAAAGAATAGCTGATTACAGATTGTTTGCTTTTCTCACTGGAGTAAGAAATCCTAAATAGTTAAAGTGTAAGCATATCCCTCCCCTTGAGGTTACTGAAAAGCTAATTAAAGATGTGCTTTGCATGCAAGGTATTACTGGGAGACTTGTTTTTCCAAAGGGACATTCAAAAAAGGTTAATAGACAAAGACCTTGGTAGAGTACCAGAAACAGTTATTATATGGATAATGAACTATGAAACACAAATTGTTTTTAAAGAAATGTGTAGGCTGGGCGCGGTGGCTCACACATGTAATCCCAGCACTTTGGGAGGCCAAGGCGGGTGGATCACAAGGTCAGGAGATCGAGACCACAGTGAAACCCCATCTCTACTAAAAATACAAAAAATTAGCTGGGCATGGTGGCGTGCACCTGTAGTCCTAGGTGATGGGGAGACTGAGGCAGGAGAATGGCATGAACTCGGGAGGTGAAGCTTGCAGTGAGCCGAGATTGCGCCACTGCACTCCAGCCTGGGCAACAGAGCAAGACTCTGTCTCAAAAAAAAAAAAAAATGTGTTATGCACTGATAGGTACAAGCAAAGCATGTAGTACACAAGAAAGACACACATAAAATATACATATGACTTCTCAAATAACTTTTGTTACATTAGTTTCTCCAAGATGCGTAGCTGTAACATTAACATATTTTCTTCTCATTATAAATATATTTCATTTTAATTAGGTTGGTTCTTAAATAGGTATGAGAATAATATCCCTTTCTGATATGGTTTGGTCATGTCTCCACCCAAATCTCATCTTGATTTGGAGCTCCCATAATACCCATGTGTCATGGGAGGGACCTGGTGGGAGGTAATTGAATCAGGTGGTGGGTTCTTCCAATGCTGTTCTTGTGATAGTGAATAAGTCTTTGATCTGACAGTTTTATAAAAGGCAGTTTCCCTGCACACACTCTCTTGCTTGCTGCCACGTAAGATGTGCCTTTGCTCCTCCTTCACCTTCCGCCATGATTGTGAGGCCTCCCCAGCCATGTGGACCTATAAGTCCATCAAACCTCTTTTTCTCTATAAACTACCCAGTCTTAGGTTGTCTTTATTAGCTCTGTGAGAATGGACTAATACACTTTCCTTCATTTCTTCAGAGACATTTTAGTTTTACTTTTGGTTAACTTCAAATAGACTGAGCCATGCTTTCAATGCCATTAGCTAGGTGATTGATTTATGAATAAGCACTTATATTAAAGAGCAATTATTTATATTTCAGTAATATTCTATTTTAAAAAGGGATTTGGAGATTTCTTAAATGGATACTCCCCTGACATATTTATCTGCTTTGTAAGTCTGAGTGTTTTATGTACTTATCTTCAAAGATAGGGCATGTCTGTCTTGTGATGATTAACCTGGTGATGTCAGAGGCCCAACATTTTAATATTTTCAACAGATGAAATACGGCATAGAATTTAGAGTAAGTCATAGATGGGTTTAAAAATAAGGAAGTATCATTTCTCTGTATGTGGCTCACATTTTTCAGTTAATCAAGTTCAACCACAGCTGCCATATAACCAAAGAACAGAGGAATACAAGGGCCTTCAAAACATAAAGTAACTTAGAGTTCAAGCTCAACCTTGTTTCTAGCAGCTCCTGGTGGTGAGTCCCCCTCCTGCTTCTGAGTCCTAAGCCAAACCTTGGCCCGTGAGCTAGAGCATAGCTCTGTTCCTACCTGCTCTCATCTAGAGGCACCCTTCCTTCTACTCCTGTTCACTGCAAAGGTCAACTCCAAAAATGATCACAAATTAATGGTTCATGTCCTGTAAACACCCATTAATCAAGCCTATAATATAAGACAAGTGGCTGGATTTGTTCACAGAAATACTTACTGCAAAATCACACCCGGTACTCTTCTGTATGTCATCTACTGTCAGCCCTTCCCAGAGCTCAATCAGAGTCAGCCCTTTTTTCTTGTCCACATCAAACACAGCCTGTCAGAGTGGGAAGAAAAAGGACAATGATAATTTCCATCACAATAATTATTATATGGCACAAAACAAAAATAACCTCACAAGTTATATAAAGGAAAGACAAGGCCAGGTGCGGTGGCTCACGCCTGTAATCCCAGCACTTTGGGAGGCTGAGGTGGGCGGATCACAAGGTCAGAAGATCGAGACCATCCTGGCTAATACGGTGAAACCCCCGTCTCTACTAAAAATACAAAAAAAAAAAATTAGCAGGGCATGGTGGCAGGCGCCTGTAGTCCCAGCTACTTGGGAGGCTGAGGCAGGAGAATGGCATGAACCCAGGAGGCGGAGCTTGCAGTGAGCCAAGATCACACCACTGCACTTCCAGCCTGGGTAACAAAGCGAGACTCTGTCTCAAAAAAAAAAAAAAAAAAAAAAAAGGAAAAATACGACCCAGGACAAAAGAAAAATCAGTAGTGGAAAAATGTCAACTGTAACTATGATATTTTGGTGAAAATAAATGCCAACTCCCTAATCAACAATTACTTGTGGAACAGTGTTGATGCCAGAAAATAAATGAGTGTTGACCATGGATGGCATTTGTTACTATTGCAACCAGTTTTTAAAAACTACCTCCCTTTTGTTAAGTCTAACACTTTTGGTCAAAGGTCAATTCATGATTAATAATGATTTGAACAAAGAAAGGAATGAAGAAAGAGGGAGAGAGAAAGGGAATTTTTGGGAGGTGAAAGCACATGAATGATAGCAAAAAAGTTTATAAATGCTGTTGGGTAAAGAATTACAGGAAACAGAAGAAGATGCTTTGAAGTGTCTAAGAGTAATTATAAGAGGATAGCTATCCTGGTCCTGAAGGACATGCAAGTAACTGTTAAAAATATTCTCAAATCCTGTGAAAACATACAGTCTCAGAAAGAGAGCATGGGAATCTCCCTTTGCTATGCAAATCAAATGAAGATGCTTATATTTAGGGCAAGCACCAGAAAGCCAATCTCACCTGAGACATTATATCATTCTGGTCGGTAACACCAGGTGTTGGTAGTGCCAATTGATATGGCTTGACCTCAGCAGATAGACCCCACCTGTTGAATCTGATTTAGAACAAATGCTTTCACACTTAGAAATATAACTCGAGTGGAAATGACCTATGAGGTCACTTAATATAACCTTCCGCCCAAGAATTCTTCAAAACATTCTTCTCAGATAGTCAACGGGGTTCTGCTTAGATATTTGCAGTGGCAGGAGGCTCACTTATTTCAAGGCAGATTGTTTACTGAAGGGAAGCTCAAATCATAAGAGCTAAAACTGCTTCTCCTATGGCTTTAACTCCATGCTACAGTTACCCTCCAGCACATTAAGCACTGTTCCCTCTTTCAGTTCTCATGGTTTCCTCTTTCTCAGACTAAAATGTTATGCATCCCAGAGCTTTCCTCTCCTCTAGAGTTAACCTAAATTCAACTATTGTTTGCAGGCGTAGAATCTTTATTTTATTTTGTTTTATTTTTTTGAGAGTCTCACTCTGTTGCCCAGGCTGGAGTTCAATGGCCAGATCTCTGCTCACTGCAACCTCCACCTCCTGGGTTCAAGTGATTCTCATGCCTCAGCCTCCCGAGTGGCTGGGATTACAGGCATGCCCCACCACACCCAGCTAATTTTTTGTATTTTTAGTAGAGATGAGGTTTTACCATGTTGGTCAGGCTGGTCTCAAATTCCTGATCTTAGGTGATCCACCTGCCTGCCTCAGCCTCCCAAAGTGCAAGGATTACAGGTATGAGTCACTGCACCCAACTGATTTTTCAACTAGCTTGGAAGTCAAACCTTGAATTGCCACTTTTGAATACACTAACTAGGAGGGTAATATCAAGACACAGCAACACGTAGAGAAAAGAACCCTGGCTTTTGAGCTCCATGAGAATTCCACTCTGCTGCACAACAGTTATGCAACCTTTAGTGAACCTGTCTTTGCATCTGTAGACATATATAATAAAAATGTACTTCCCAAGATTGTGATACAAGATAAATATAAGAAAACATACTCTGAGCACCATCCCTGAGACAGTGGGGGCAGCACACAAGCAGTTTTTTACTTTTTACTCCTTAGTCGCTTAACATCTCACTTATATGTGACCCCAGATCAAAGCCCTGAAATGATTATTGACTCTAGTTGATTAATATTTTTCCCCAGAAACACACATCACTGGGACCAGTGATAACTGCATTCTTGGTTTGTCTGATGAATTCACAGATAACCTGGTTGACATTACTGGAAAAGAGGTTTGAAATATGAGACAAAATATTTCTTATTTCTCAGTAAACTTTTCTTTTGCTTGTACATTTCATGTTCCAAAAAATTTTCTGGCAGAAATGTATGTTTCAAGAGGAAAAAAATAAATGGATAATTTAGGAATGTTTGTATACTCATTAGCTTGCTTCATTCCAAAATGACAATAAAAATTTTAAAAAATGAACACTTTCTTTGCAGAAAATGTGTCTGGAGCACTATTGATAAGATTTGCTTTTTCTTGCATTCTGAACAACTGTCAATTTATAAAAATAGAACAAACAAGAAAAAAAGAGCATCTGGATTATGTTATTAAGAACAGGCACGGGAATGATTTAGAGAGAAGATAACTGTGGTATCAAACTTTAAGGCTTCAGTAATCAAGGAAAATAAATCTATCACAAATTGACTTATTGCTTTTAAAAAAACCTTATTAACACATTCATCAAATCCTAATTAGATATATTAGAAAGCCAAGTATCTATAATTTAAAAAAGGAAACTTGCTTTTGAAATATTTAGGAAACTTTCCATTTAGTGATACAAGGTGCAAACAAAAATTTGACAAAAATGGAGACTAAAACCTAAAAGCCACAATAAATTGTTCAACTATCCAGAATATTGCAAGTACTCTGTCTAAGAGATGAATGCTAATTACTTTATGACCATGACAAAAGCTTACATTATGGGTAACAGTGAATCACAGCTCAGGTGCTGGTGAGGAATACATCTTTCATTACTTCATTCTCACAGCTCAAAACCAGGAAATCAGGGTCATAGCATCCTCCAAATTCTCTTTCAAAAGGCAACTGAAAGGAATTTTCTCTAGATCTGATAATGGCATTCTAGTCCATTGTTAGTGAGGGCTGGAGACCTTCATTGCCCTTAATGGCACTGCATTCTCATTACTCATTCAACAAGTATTTATTGAGCACCTACTATGCACAGAGCACAGCGATAAACATGCAACCTTCCTTTCCTTGAGGTACCAAAAGTTCCAGACGTAGATGTCCTTCTCTTTACTCATTCTAGCTATACAATGTCATCTATAATTAAGGCTCTAATTATCCCCATATGTTAATGACGCCCACAAATTTATTCCAATACTGACTTCTCTTGTGAGCTCTAGATCCAAATCTCCCAATTGTTTATTGCAGTATCTGACTGGGTATTCCCAGGAATATCACAGTGAGGCTATCCAAACTGAACCTATTCATGTCTTGTATTATCCTCTTGCTTCTCCTCCTATAGTCCTGGTCTTCCTAAAGGATGCACAGGTCAACCATTCTCTCTAGTCAGAAAACTTAGGAATCTCCTCTGTCTTACCAAGAATGTGCAATTCATCAAGTTAGGTCGAGTCCATCTCCTAAATCTCTTTCAAATCTCTCCATCTGTCCTATGGTTTAGAATTTTGAGATTTTTTGCCTAGGTCTATGGATCCTCTTAACTGGCTTCTGCCTTATCTGTTTTCTGTCCACTTTACATAAAAGCTTACAGTGTTTTTCCTAATGCAAATCCAATTTATTGTGTCCCCAACCTTAAAAAAGCGAAAAATCACTGAAGGGTTCCTTACTGCCTTCCTTATAAGACCCACAGTTCTTAGCAAGACATCGACATCCCTCCATTATTTGACCCCTCACTGCCTTTTCCACATCAGCCTTCAGAATCCAGTCACACCCTTGCTCCAACCAGCTCAACTTGCAGGTTATAGGACAAGCCATGTTTTCTTCACACCTCTGTGACTGTATGTTTTCTTCCTTTTTTCCAGAAGGTCCTTGTTGGTTTTCTAACTTATGAAATTCCTACTGATCTTTTGAGGCTCACCATTCAATCCAGTTTTTTCAGCAAAAAAAGCACAAGTATTCACTGAGTATGGGCTGGCGCTGTGCCAAGTGTTAGATAAACAGTGGTGAGTGAGACAGGCAGAGATTAGAGTTTATTTCAGTATAGTGGTTTATGCTAAGTTAGGATTAGTACAAAGATTCAGAGAAGCACCCAGAAAATTTGGGGACGGATTGGGAAGACTAGCAAGAGAAATATATAGCCAAGATATAAAGGATGAGCAGAAATTAGCTAGATGGATGGGGTGGGAAGAATGTTCCAGAGAGAGAAAAAGGATGTGCAAAGTCTCAAAAGAACATGGTCCAGGCATTTTAGTATGGTTCAAGTAGGGAGAAAGTTAAAGTAGCAAGAAATAGGCTAGAGGAGAAAGGTACATACTGTGAAATGCTTTGCAAGATATGTTAAAAGCTTGTATTTAATAACACCAAAAAGCTTTCCCTGATACCTCTGCCCACGCTGCTGGGCAGCTTTTCTCTATGCCCCTAGATTAGCATCTGGTGTGTGTCTCCAGATGGCCTTTATCATGTCAATTACTCTGACTGCTGGCAAGGCTGGATGTTTGGTGTCTAACCCTTCTTCCACGTTGTCCTTTAGGACAGAGACTTTGCCTTCCTCCTTTCTGTAACACACTGTTGGGAACAATCTGGTTCAAAAGTTTTTAAAATGATAGTAAAGTTAAATATCAATATAAGTTATAGCATAAGAATACATTAGATTATGAGTGCCAAAATGAACAGTGGGCCACTATGAGAATAAATTGTTGTGTGCTATGATGGTGCAAAACCGCTTCATGATGAAGAGGGAAACTGCATTAGGTTTAAAGGACAGGTAGTATTTGGGGAGGCCGAGGATCAAGTGGGAGCTATGGCAGATAGAAGAACTGAACTGGTAAGAACAAGGGCAGGGTACACGTGGAGGTGAGGAGAGGGCTGATGGAAGGAGGAGAGGACCCACAGGAAGAAAGTTTCTGGAATTATCTTTAGAAGGACTACCACTTTATTTAAAAATAAACAAACAACCAACAGGGTAAAAGATTGCTTTGCTTTTATCTTCAAAGTAATGGATTCTTTTCAACAAGTCCTGTTCATAGTTTCGGGGGGATTCAAGAAATGGTAAAGATTCAGAATATTTGGTGGGATAAAATATTCTGCCCTTTTATCTTGTTCTTTATATGTTACCTTCATGGCATTCCACATAAGTAGTCCTGCAGAAGGCATCATTTAGGACAGAACCTCCCTTAAAATTAGCTTCTGGGAATAATAAGCCTCCTAGCCCATTTCAAAGCCTGCTTTAGGGTGCTCACTGTCACACCTCAATGAAGTTAGTGAGTCAGATTAATGCCAAGACACTAATGCTACTGTTCTTGGCAAATGGAACAGCACTAAAAGAACCTGATATACATAATTCTGTTTTATGGCTTCTTCAAGGTACTGAATCAAGAAAACACACCCTCCCAGCTAACTTAAAAGCATTGTCATTCCGACATACTAGGTTCAAATCTGAGTCAGAAGGGTGACTATAGGCAGCTGCTGGTGATGCTTCTCTGGTCTGAGCAGCTTTCAGTTGTACTCCTGACCAACATGTTCCAGCTAGTAAGAAGAATCTAGAGAGTCACTGTGTGTTTTGAAACCCCACTCTATAAAAGACAGCAGTAAGCATGCAAGAAACAGAATCCATTTCTTGGCTTACGGTGGGGCCTATACTATGATTTGCACTGAAACAATTAAAAACTCAACTTACACTGAATTTCTTAAAATCCAAAAATTTGTACTTGTGATTTAGAAAAGGTAGAAATAATATATTCTTAACTTTGCATATATCATCATCCAGCCTGACATTGTAATAGTCAAAATATAAAGATCAATAAAACTTCTCTGATTATAGCACACTGTCAAAGTTACCAAGGACAGTGATTCAATTTTGCTTGTATGTTTCCAAAGACTTGCACATAAAGAATTCTACATTTAGAAACATTAAATTGATGAGCTTTCCTATTCATTTTGCCCACAGGCTAAATTAATCCTGTGACTACTGGTGTAATACACTCTTAGAAGGTAACAACAATTTCTGTAAATGCTTACTTAAAACGTGTTTAATAGATAGCAAATAAGAGAAAAAACACATTTTACCTTTTCAGTAATAATGCGGTTGACACATTGCTTTCCAGTCAATGGTAATGTACATTTCTCCATGATTTTATGTGCATTTCCCTGTTTTAAAAAGAAAACATCAAAAAGAGTAGTTAGGGAGCAATTTTTATTTATAATTGACATAACTATAGGATAAACAGAAACTATCAGAGAAATTGTCTCCTAAGTACAGACTCTTTCAGAATTTTTGCACAGTTACGTTTTTTACTTTTTATTTGGAGGCAGCTTCTGTCCCTGAAATAATTTAGGTAATGCCAGATGAATGGCCAAAGGCAGAAATGATTTAATTGGGAAACACCCTGCCAGAAATTTGACTTCTCAATCCTCAGCCCTTGTATCATTTGATGTGAAATTTCACTAATATCCTGCTTATTCTTCCCTTCCAATGAATGGTCTCCTTAAAAAATGTGAGCAGACATCTGCCCAGGATGCAAAGCACATACAGAACACAAATGCATAAGTCCTCTTTTTAAAAAATATTTTATCTGTTAAAAAAGTAATATGTACATGGAAAACAGCAGTGCCTTGCCTCCCTTCCCCACTCTTAGAGTTGCTCTTAACTGGAATCCATTCTAGTGTTTTTTGTTTGTTTGTTAGCATTTTCTTCTGTTTCTAACATTTTCTTCTTATATCCACTTTTAAAATACTATGTTTACCATGTTATTTCTTGATTAATCAATTTTAGACCGTATCTACTAATTTCCTATTGTGGCAGAGGAAGACTTAAGAAAAACTAAAAGTGGAAAAAATGTTTTCATTCATTGACTCCCTCCTCCAGCCCTTCCTCCCACCTGCAATGTAGAATTGGCCTCTGATGCATGTCTGAGGAACGGAGTTGAACATTGGCTCTGAGGATCTGATCTTCAGATCATTTTCTTCTGTTCATGATTAAGCTACTTTTTAAGAGTCAAGCACCAGGAGCCTAAATTACTGTCTCTCTTGGGGCTGACCGCTACTCTACCACATTCTAGATCTTCTCCAAAAATGACAAAATGCTTTTATTGCTTTCTTTTGGATCTAATGTACCACATGTGACACCACTGTCATCCTTAGCCATCTCAATGTTTTACCTACTTAAATGCACACCTACTATCTAGTTTATATCTCTCCCAAAACTGGTGTCAGGCTAAGTATATGGGCAGAGGCTATGAATTTCAGATAGGTGGGCTCCATTAAGATTTCATTCCTTGTGATAGCCTGCCAACTCAGCAATGCACTAGTAATTAAAAGGCTTTAATGTACTTAAGCCAGTGAAAGGAATAAAAGACATTCAGTAGTTTTTGAATAAATGAATGTAAGAATGAATGTGAAGAGAAAAGGAGGTCTATTGGGAATCTTGGATAGATTTTTTAAAAAAACTATTACCTTAGTTCAGACAAAACTGGTGCTAAATACATATGAAGTAAGTTGACATAACACCTTTTAAAACAATCCCCATATGTTTCCAGATCTTATTGTATAAGAAAATTTATAGTTGCAGAAATAAAGTCTAATTTTCACTTCACTTCTAATTATTTTTCTTTTAAGATTTCAAATTCTGCACATGACATGGAAGCTAAATTAAACAGTTGAAATTAATGACGAATATTTGAACTTCTACAGTTGTCAGGTCTCCTTACATTTAATATATATCAAGGCATGTCACAACGAATTCTGGGCCTGACTTCAAACAAAGTGAACTATCTGCCAGCCTCTGAAGAACATTTTCTCCAAGGAGCTCTTATTTAGTTCTCATTATTTGAGCAAGATCTACATCTGGCATGAAAGCAGCCACTTGGATTTTAATGAACAACCAACTTCATTTTAGGAGAAATCAAGGATTTCAACTGACAGAATTATCTATGTCCTACCAATGGAGACCTTTTTCTAGACCATTCTCTGCATACACCCTATAGCATAGTGGTTAAGTGTGTGGGCTAGAGCCAAAAGACCTGTGTGTAAAACCTGGCCATGCCCCACATTGTCTCTGTAAGAGCCACATGCCCATGCTTCTCCATCCACCCTACCTTGAAAAATTGGGGTAAGGTCTACATGAAATGCAAGGGTCCAGTACTTAGTGCTTAATGAATGTTAGCTGGTACTGTTTTTATACAATCCATAATTAATATTTCTATAACCTGTGAGGAAATTAAGTTCCTATATGAAGTCTGACACAGGATTATGTAGAAAATGGCCTAAATACAATTCCTGAGACACACAAAACTAGCAAAAACACAACACAAATTTGGGGGCAAACCATATGGCTCTCCTAAGAAACTGGCACCAAATGTATTCCTGTTAGAACAATGGAGCTAGATGATTCCATTCACATTTATAGTGCCAAGACATAACACAGATCAAGAAGGAAAAAGAAAATGAGATGCAGAAAGATTTTAAAATGTCACAATTTCAATATTCAATAAAAGGTTAGCTATGAAACCAAAATATGACTAGCTCCTACGTTAGCACTCTATTCTAAATATGCTGGGCTGAGCCCTACAGTGTGCTATGGCAGCTGCATATATTAGTGACACACAAAGGAGGAAGAAGTGCTGAGTTTTTAGCATTTAAAAATAAATCCTAATAAAGGAATGCAGTATGGTGTGGCAGCAAAGAGCACTCTACTAGGAGTCCAAAGACCAGGTTTGTAGTCTTAGTTCTGCCATTTAACAATTTTTTGGTCCCTTAAATTCTTTGTGCCATAGTTCTCTCTTATCTTTTGCCTTATCCTCCTTACCTGATCATTGTAGGAATCACATGAAATGTTCTGAAACTGCAATAAACTAGGGCGAGTTGAATCTATGTGCAAATATCCAGGGTTACTCGGATCTCATTCATGCTTATATATGGTGTTTCTTTCCTTACCCATGAAGGGTGGTCAGAAAAGGCAGAGAAATAGATACAAAGTATAGCATTAAAAATGCTTTGTGTATTGTGGGGTGGGTCACACCTGTAATCCCAGCACTTTGGGAGGCTGAGGTGGGAGGATCACTTGAGGCCAGCAGTTCTAGAACACCCCAGGCAAGACCCTATTTCTACAAAAATTTTGAAAGTTAGCCAGTTGTGTCTGTGCGTGCCTATAGTCCCAGCCATTCAAGAGGCCAAGCTGGGAGGATTGCTTGAGCTCGGGAGGTTGTAGTAAGCTATGCGCATGCCACTGCACTCCAGCTTGGGCAACAGAGAGAACTGGTCTCAAACAAACAAACAAACAAACAAAAACTTCACTAGTCCTGAGGCTCCTGATTTCAATATGTCCTTACTTATTAACTTCATCACAACCTTTGGTGAACATCTACCTTCTTTCCTGCATCAACTTCCCTAATCTTTCTCTTTCTCCTTGAGCACTTACAGGCCTCGAGCAATACCTAGGGTAATTCACCATTTTCAAGTGACTAAACACTCTAGTACTTTCTATTGCTTGCTTCATGGTGATCTCTTTAATTCTTTAGATGTCTGAATAAAATCCTGGGCCTAAGTTCTGCAGTATTAAACAATTCTAGTTAAACAGTAATAAATCCCTTTGCTATCATAACAATAAGTTTCATGTTTTTGCAATGAACTTAATCCCAAATCCAAATAAGCTCTTTATCACAACAGAATGATTTCTTGCATTTCATGTCAACACGTTCTCCTGAAATCTTTAAGACTGTGCTTTACATAAAACCTCATTTCACGCTCATCTTTTCTGTTAAGTGCTTGTTAAATATGGCTGCAATACACACACACACACACACGCGCACACAGACACACACAGACACACAACACGCGTGCACATATTTTTTCTCTCAGGCACTTTCTTTGGCAAAGCCCTAATGATCAACTACAGAGAAGGAAAGTTCTGGGATTTGCTTGTTCCTAAAAAGACCAAGCCTTTCAGCTTTTGTTCATGCTGCCTGTTACCTGGAACACATACCACCACATACCCCATCACCCCAGATTCAAATGGCAACACCTTCCTATTCAGGATTTGGCTCAGACACCATCTTCCCTAGAAAAGCCTTCATCCAGCATCCTCATCTGCTGCTGCAGTCATGTCCCAGGGGTGTCCCCAGTCTGTGGCTCTCCTGGGTGCTCCTGTGCTTCCTCCTCCCTTCACATGTTGACCTCTTGCCACCATGTCCACTAGATGCTGAACTCACTAAGCTAAGACTATTTTTCTTCATATGTACAGCCATGAGTAGAACATTAGGCAAACCACAGTGATCAATAAAGGCTGCATTTCTGATTCAAGGAACTCCAGAGGGGAGCTATAAAATGCCATGTGACTAATGTCTATGGACCACTAGAGGCTGCTTTTCTAGTTCTAAGATAGGTATTTGTACAATCCTAGTATCTCTGAGCTCACTAGAAGCAGCACAGCTAGCAGAAGCACATGACGGGGCTTATAAGACTTTGGTAAGACAGATAAAGGTGTGATAAAAGGAAGCAGCAAAGACACTTTAGGACTGTAGCCCAAAATATACAAATGTGAAAGTGAAGAGAGAAACACTGAATTATAGTTATTTTACCTTTTCCACCTGCTCCCTTCTAAAGCGTAAAGGAACTTGCCATAATTTACTGAAAAGAAGGACTACAAAGGCTGAATTTGGCAAGAGAATATTAAATACTTTGTCTGGTAGAACAAGGAAGCCAATGGCAGGTCTCTCTTTGGGCTTGCCAAAATATCATGGATGAAGCCTGATTATCAACATCCTTGCTCACTCCTTCTCCTGCTTAATCTCAATGCTTAAATCAAGTATACCAAATACACACGCAGATATAATAATGGGAAATGCTGTATTTCAAAATACATGACTGTCACATCACTATAACTGATGTAGCTGGATTATCTGTAAGACAAAAGATACATGCTTGAGAAGATAGATACTATTCTCCACAGTGTGATTATTTCACACCACATGCCTATATCAAAACATCTCATGTACGCCATATATATATTCTTATGTGCCCACAAAAATTAAAAAATTTAATTTTTTTTAAAAAAGAAAAGAACTGGATTTGCTAAATAAAGAAAATCAAGGTACACACAATAAAAGGAAAGAATGAGATTACTCACACTGCATTTGTCCTCATGGGATACG